AGCACATGGCTAAGTAACCCGAGAATATCTCAGCGAAGTTACTTATTTAGAATTCATTTGTTTTAGGGTTTTAGTTATTGAGAAAATTATTGTGTTCTATCACATTTGAGAATTCACGTGTTATACTGATATTACTGTTGCTTCCCACTTCCCGCTGCCGAAAATCTTCTAGATAACATGTCATCTCTATTATTAAAAAAAAGACAAAGAATTTTTTTGTACAAACTTACGGTTAGGCCAATGTATTCTGACATTACTGTCCGATTGGATGATTTAAAATAAACTCTTTTTTCAGAAAATGTAATTTTCAAATCAAGTTTCTAAGAAATACGCAAAGTAATAATTACAAAAGTTAATGAGGGAACTGGATTCGAATTGCGTACTAAATGCCAACAAAGTTGCTTGTCCATCTTCATTATCAAGTTATAATTATAGTCATGGAGTTGCGACAAAATAATGAGCCACTGTACCTGTCACTTTTCTGAGCTGGCTTATAAATTCACGTAAACTTTGACATTGCTTAAATCTTACAATTTACAGTTGATTTTTTTTCTTAAAACATGTCATATAAGTCAAGAAATAATTTTAAAATTTACTATGCATATTCTTGATAAATTTGCGTATTCATATGCTTAGTAAATTTTAGCAAAGACGTAAAAAAATTGATTATAAGGGTTAGATGACAAATACAATTTTAGTGAGCACTGCGGCAATAAATGTAAGATAGTTTAAAAAGACTCATTTTTTTTAAATTAGTGACATAGTAAGGGCACAGGGAAAACGAACAATAAGAATAGGTTATAATGCAATGTTATGCATTGTCATAAATCATCATTGAAATTGTGTTTGCGTATGAAGATTACTAGTCTCATGAAGATTGAAGTCTTGTTTTTTCTTTACTGTTCGTGTCCTTTAGCACACTCTGAACTAGAGTCAAAGGATAAAAAAAGTTTTATATTTAAGCAAAAGGACGTCGGATGACACAAAGGTACAGTTGGAGAATACACTTTTATCCTTTTACTATTACGTAAAAACGAACGCTTCATGCCTTGCTTATGCTCTTCTTTGTCTTAGACCCCTTTTCCACTAAACTAAGGCTATGACACAGACAATTATTATTTATGGATCAGTGGAAATAAGTGACTTACGTCATCGCCAATGATCAAAAGTAACAAGACAAACATAAATTCATATAGGATTTCCGAAAAGCGTTTTATCAATTTTCAACTTAATTATCAAGTAGAAATTGGGTTTACTTTAACAAAACAATATGTAAAATAACATTAGTAGTTATAGAATTTGTAATATTACATTAAAAGTGTATCATTCAGCAACTACACAATCACAAACTCACAATCGTCTAATACAAAAGAAAATTAATGACTGGATATATCACCCCACCTTTGTTACCTCAAATATTTCACTTGCGTATGTATTTTTGCGCAAAATGGCATAAAATATATATCAAATATTCTAGTAAGTGAAAAAGTTTCGGCATGAGATACATCTCAATGTCACATCTGCGAGATAGAATTGAACATGATGAGCAATTGTTCGGTATCCATTTATATAATAAGATGGAGATATGTACTAGGTTTTTTTAATCTTATTAATAACTAGCTATCGCCCGCGACTCCGTCTGTGTGGAATTAAAAAAACTTAATAAGTACCCTATGTGTTCTTCCAGACTATGTTCTACTATGTCAAGTTTCAACAAGTTCTGTTAGACTTTCCGGAGATACTTTCAAACAAACATCCATCCATTAATTCATTAATCTAATCATTCGCGTTTATAATATTAGTAAGATTTGTCGAGAAATGGTATTTTTGAGAATTTATATTTCGTTGCGATTTACATTCTAGAGTGATTATTTCTTCAATTTCATTTTATTGAAAGATTCTTGGTAATTTCTGGCATGATGTTCTAAGAATTTTAATAATTAATTAAAATGTTATAAATATTTTACAAAACAAAAATAAATTATTTATAAAATCATTAATTAATATCTTGTTTCTTTTTATGTATTTGATAATACTTATATATGAGTTCAATATGAAATTAACTTTAAATACAATGTTGAAATCATAATGTTATACAAATACTATCAATTTAATGACTTAAATTGACAGCAAATGTTTTAATAGGCGTAATATTATTCCAGCCAAAGTTGACCACTGAAACCACAATTATTTTGCTATGCTCTGCCAAATTACTCACATAAATACCATTGAATTATGCAAATACTTTAAGGCATTAAGTTATTAATTTATTAAGTAACACCATAAATTAAAATATATACGTCGGAGATTTCCGAGCGGTTTGTTATTTAAATGGTCGATATTATTATCTGATACTGCTTTATTCAGTCGGTGCGCACGCCGGCGCGGGCGCTGTCTCTGGACCAAGCCTGTCACTTGTCAAACGACACTACTGACAGATACAGTTGCACTGACAGACGTCAATCATGCACCTTAGAAACAATGTTGCCATTCGAACTAAATAATTAACGTCATAAATTGGTATTCTCCGACATATTAGGTAGATTGTGACATATCTGATTACAACTAAACTTTAAGAGTGTGTTTACACTATTATTTTTCTGTTCGTAAATCTTCAATTCGAAAATAAATTTTTATCTTAAAATATTTACACCATTCGATATTATCATATCGATATCTAAACAGATGCAGTAAAATATTATTTATGATTACTAATATAATATTTCTATATTAATTAACTTTTGTAACCAAAAACCAAATACATTTGTTAAATATGAAATTATTATTGGCACAGATAGGCCGTGTTAATCTTCCGACGTCAAGAACACATGGCGATATCATTTTTCCTAATATCATATCGGCTGATTAATAACTAAACCTTTTCTTATTGCAATTATTACGTCTCTTCGTCGAAGTTATTTTCTTTACGATGAACTATTAATTCCACGTACAAAAAATAAGAAATACTGTTTGCGTTAATACATATGTGTTCGTGTCGTTCAATAATTAAATGTTTGTCAATTAAAATTAGTTAATTCAATGAAATCGTCATCAGCGTCATATGTACGCACCTAGAGGCTCGGAGTCTATACAAGTCAGGGTGAGTAGACATAGTCAACCACGCTGACCAAGGGGTTGGTACGGTTGGGACCGAGGGTTGTTACAGTTAAATGTTTTATATTTTTAATAATAGTCAATTTAACATAATTATATCATAAATATTTGTGGTAATTAATTAAATAAATTAAACATTTAATTAATTAGAGTTAATGATTTACAAGTTACATTTGAAATAATTTATAATTGAGTAAAGGGTAAATTTGAGTGTGAAATTAGTTTTGTACATCGAAGTTCAAAGGTTCGGATAATATATTTTCCAACACTCCACTCTCCAGGTAATTGTGGCGGAAAGTTTCCGAACGTGAGCGTAATTTTAATAAAGTCCGCCGCAAGTCAGCTCACTTATTTACCTTTATTTAAATCTTAGAATATTTTGAGAGCCAGTCGTTTTTTATAAATATTAAATTGTTGTGAGTTATACAAGAAATAACGTAAATCTTCGCATACACTGAGTTTGAAACGTAATTTCACGGTGCTAAACATGACTGGAAATATTATATCATTACTTCACACGTATAATTTGTTATTCTTACTGTGACTTTTCACGGCCAAGATAACCTTACAAAAACATATGTTATCTTAGTCTTTTTCAAGGGGAAAAGAGAGACGACAATATGTTTTCATGCAAATATTTAGGCTGTAAAAACCCACTGTTCCTTCATGATACATTACTTTCATATCACGAAAATGTGTTTGTTTAATATTACGTACATTAATAAGATTACTAGAATATATTTACTAACAAACAAGGAAGTAAAATAAATTGTCACATATTTTTCAGTAACATTTTTATTAAATGTAAATTAATATGTACAGTGCGACAGGTCACCGGTGTAACTTGTGATCCAAGAATGCCAATGCAGCTTAAGGGACAGATCTACAAGTCCATCGTAAGACCTGTCGTTTTGCACGGATCTGAATGTTGGGCTACCAAGGTTTCGGATGAAAGAAGATTGCATGCATGTAGCTGAAATGCGTATGCTAAGATGGATGTGTGGAATGAAAGGATAAAGTTAAAAATGTGCATATTAGAGGAAGTTTGAAAGTAGCGCCAGTGATCGAGAAATTGAGGAGTAAAAGATTAGCATGGTTGGAACATGTTGTGCGGAGGGATGCTGATGATATAACCACAAAAGTAATGCGATTGAATGTGGATGGCTACAAGTTTAGAGGAAGACCAAAAAAAATATGGATTGACTGTGTGAAAGAGGATATGCGTAGGAAGGGGGTAGACTCGGATATGAAGGCTGATAGAGATGTATGGAGGAGTATTACATACTGTGCCGACCCTCGTTAGGGATAAGGGCAGGTTGAAGATGATGTAAATTAATATGTATCAATTCTTGTGCTTAACAGACATAGCACTAAAATATATGGTAAACTAGGTTTCGCGCGTTACCCCGTCCGCGCGGAATTAAAAAACAATTATTTGCCAGTTTGTTTTTCAGACTATGTTCTACATCTATGCAAATTTTCAGCGAGTTTCCTTCAGCCGTTCTAATAAACAAACATCCATCCATCTAAACTTTCGTATTTGTAATAAGTATGAAGTAAGATACCCAAATTATATCGTTATTAATGTTTTTTTTTCCAAAAAATATAAAGATAATAGTTTCTCCGTGGATTCAACGGCTATAACTTCATTTTATACAGTGATGATCGTTAGACTGCCTTGAAAATTAACGGCGTGTGCGTAACTCTGCAAGTTTTTACGGTTACGACAACGATTATGAGGCCATCTTTTGCAAACGACCTCTGACTTTATACCCCACAATTTTCAACGATCAAGTGAATACTATGTGGTTTACAATATTGGAAATAGTTTTTACATACTTCGAGTATAATTTTAATACGAACCGTACTTCACATGACTCAAAGTCTTATATCCCCGCAGTGGGGCAGAGGGCGTCCACAGTGCGCTGCCAGTTCGCTCTATCTTGGGCTCTGCGTTTGGTCTCGGGCCACGTCAGCTCGATTGCCTTCATATCGGCAGCTACTGAGCGCCGCCAAGTTTGTTTAGGACGGCCACGTCTTCTTGTTCCTAGCGGGATCCACTCCAGAGCCTCCCTGGGAATATGACTGGGATCCCGACGAAGATTCCTAGAATCTGTCGGAGACAGTTACTTCACATACTCTTCAACAATTATTTTCCAGTCCTTCAGTATGTTTGGTCAACGTATTTTGCTCTAAGACGAGTTAAATATGATATATAAATGTTCTAGTCATTTGTAAAGCATAAAGTTGTTATATTTTATGATTCAGTCTGCGACATAAGATAGATGGATATAAAAGTTATTGGTTTGAAAAGGTTAAGCCAACGCTTTTAGGTATGTACTGACATTAAAAAGGTAATGGTTTTCTTTGTAGATACCTGCTTCTAAATAGATTAAAGGTTACCTTGTTTATGTGTTGGCTATTTCTGACGATAGTAACCGTAAGTTATGTTTTGATTTCCATTAGTAGGTAAACGTCTGAATTCTCTTATTTTATTAGTTCTTTTTTTCTTTTTATATTTGTTAACCTAGACCAGTGGTTTCCAAACTTATTATGTCTTCTGTCCACTTTGTGAATAAATATTTTTTTAGTGTCCCCATATTTTCACATATTTAAAAACCACTATAACTTCAAATTAAATGAACTAATTATTGTGACCTATATATGTATATTAACGGAGAATTCTAAACGAAACTTTTACTATAACCCGTAACTTGAGACCTGCAGTGCCCACAAGGAGGCGTTATCGCCCACTTTGGGAAACACTGACCTAGATCAAAGAAATAACAATTAGTTCATAGTAAGATTTATGATTCAACATATTGAGATAGGGTATTTGGTTACATTGATACCGTTTGGTTGGTTTATATAACAAAGCTTTTTCCATTACACAACTAACTTGAAGAATTCAGAGTACAAGAACAAACGTAGATCATACGTCACATTATGTAAATGAAAGAAAACAGGTGGCTGAATTTCAATACAATTTCTTAATGGTATGGAAATCGAAGCTAAGGCGATATATACGTAATTTTCTTTTCTAGTAAAATAGATTTCCTTCGATAATACACGCTGTAGAAATATGATTCATATTTTAGTTCAACAAAATTTTGAAGTACTTTGTTGGAAATTTTATATAATTTATACAATGCTTTATTGTTCAATTTAAGTGCAAAACGTATATCAATCGTTTACACCACAGCATAATAAATTCTAAACTACGTTGTTAACGTGTTATGGGTTCTAACTCTGTAACTGTATGCGATGGCGAGTCTGTTATTTGCATGTTATTCTCTCTCTATTTAGTTTTTCTTATTTATAATGGTCCTGACTTTTCCTTATTATCTTTTTTAAGGTTGCATTGTACAGTTTTATGGCCACATGGTGACAGACCATAACAATACTGTTACACACCATGCGTATGCAAAGCCATTGCTGATCTAATCTGTTCTCGGATCTGATCAGTTTTGGTCTCATTCGCCATCTTATCTTAGATTACATTTGGGGCGTTATGTAAAAAAAAAGTTTGTAAAGACCAACTATAAACTGTTAATATATGGTAATTAGGTTATTTAAATCGGCCTTACTATATAAATAAAGGGTCTGTTAGTATATGACTTGGCTCCAATCCACAACACAACATCTGCGTGCATTAAACATAAGTCAGAAGTACAAATACTATCAGCAATGCTCTAAATCATTAAAACAGACTGTAACATAGTAACATATGACTGACTTACGCTAGGAGAACAAAACGTAACGGTTGGACGTAGAGCATTATTAGTAACAAAAAGGCAGTAGAAAAACAAAATATAGTTGAATAGAATTTTCTAATAACAAGTATCAAAATATTTCAGCTTTTTAATATAACTAATTGTTATACTCAATAGATACTAGAATTGAATGAAATTAATTTGCAAATGAAAAACCGCCTCTAACCGTGAGTTCCTGAGACCAAAATCCTCATTTAAAATACAGGGAGGAACAGGGATGACGTTTTTGGTATGAGAAACTCACGGTAATTGAGTTATTTGTGTAAAATAAATTTATCGTGATGACAATTAATGCATTTATCGTAAAGAATAATACAGCAAATATACATTTACTGTATAAATTTACTCACTAAAGCTCAAAGTGTGGAAATCCAATCTGTTTATCAATTTCCACCGCCAATTTCGAACAATTTAACAGTTTAATCCCACTTTGAAATGATTTTTATACCTATCACATTAAAATTAATATTCAAATTAAAACTGACATTTACAATTATTTAATGTCAAAACTTATAATATATTTGAAAAAAAAATCTTCTGGGTAAATAATATACGACTATCGTATATGGTTGTTATTAGCTACTAGAGGTTTTGTAAGGTTTTACTAAGACCTTGCCCGTTTGAGGTTTTTTCAAATTCGAAGTAACTAGTCGTCGGACGACAAATTGCAATCCCGATTTTAACCAAACCGAGACGAACGAATCGTTGATTGTCAGTACTTCATTCTCATCTAAAAATTCCTTTTTTACCGGTCTCTACTAACCCTTATTCTTTTATTCAAAAAGTCTGTTACATGAGTATTCGATGAATTAAACTTAACTACACGAATTTCAAATGTCAATAGCCTAATGGTTAAGGGTACGGATTTCCGATCACGAGGTCGGTGGTTCGAATGCCACCATTAGATTATTGTCGTAGACTTTAGTAAGAATGGTACAAGAAATATTAGTAAATCTGCTAATATTAAAAAAAATATATCAGCTCAGGTTCCTGCAAATATTAAATAAATCTAACTGTAATTCGTATAAAAATTATAAATTATATTAAGTTGCAGATCTGCTTTTATTTCCAATTTTTTGGAACTGACTGTAGACTGATTGATACGCCTCATTAAGTAATTGTCCTGTTAGTTGTGTCAATCACTACTTAAAATGTATTGCTAACAATTAGTCTACTTTAATCAGAGCCACAGTTTAATGGTCCGGTACAATTTACAAACTTATGTAGATATCTTTATCGGTGTTTAATTTTTAGTACCATTATTTTTTTCTTATATCATAAGGTGGCAAACGAGCGAGCGGCCAACTGAAATCGCTGAAATAGCGAAGTGACCGTTGCCCATAGACATACGCAATTGCATATGTGTTGCCTACCTTTAATCGACGGATGAGAGGATGCACAGAAATTAAATATTTTCCCTTTCCATGCATCCTCTCATCTGGAAAGTCCATTTCAACTTCCCATCCTTTCCCTATAGGAAAAGGGTGGGAAGGGAAAGAGGACTAAATGAGGCCTCCGGGACGCACACTCATCAGACGAAACGCGGAATTGCTTCCACTTCACGCCTGCCTTCTGTGTGGTCGTGGTATTTAACCAGGCGAGCCGGGCCAATTCGTGCGAAGATGTTAAGGCGGGCTCTACCACTGTTTAGATTTAACACCAGCAAATAACATAGCGATGCAGTATATACCATATGTCGTCTAGATATGTAGCTCAATAAACACATGTACTCAGTTGATTGGTAGTTGAAAGTAGTTATCCAATTTTAGCATGTATCAAAGCTTTAATATAATCATATAAACCGTAGATTTTTAGCATCGTCTATATATTTAAATGTTTACAAATCTCAACAACACTTTGAAACTCGAAAAGATCGCACCTTTACCGATAGGATTTTGTGGTTAAAGAATTTTGTTTTAACTTGTTACGTGTTCAGCTGACTTTGAACATGTTCGGAATCAAAAATAACCCTAGGGCCCAACAAATCATAACACAATAAGTTGTTGTAGGTAATTTCCGAACGACCCACGATCTTTCCAACATTTGAGATAGGCAAGCGTATAAATTGCATTCGACCTTAACGGGCAATATTTCATCACTTTATTTACGACCGGTACCTTTTCCTTTGCATGATATATTACCACTTCCAAACGTATTTGCTAATTGTCCATAAATAAAATTTTACATAAAAGAATTATACATCATATCAAACCTATTTATTTTATTTCTTGATCACTACGTATTAGTTTTTGTTTTCAGTAAAATAGTGTAAATTTTAGCAAATTTACTAACCAAAACGTGCTATAATATTACGAGTATAGTACTTAATAGGGCAAGTTAAGTTAGTTTAGTAATACTATCATGAAATGATCAAATAATATTTATGTTAACAAATAGGTTATCAACTAGTTTATGCCATAACTTCATGCAAATTTGTTGAACCGCACAAAAACAACATCTCTCAACAATTTTATTTAATATCGATGTTTACTAATGAAAGAGTCACAAAATTCAAACAGTACCATTGAAAATCAAGAGCATACTATATAACGTATAACTCTGACGATACAAAGAGATTGATGAAATGAAAACATAACGGGAATTGGGGTCTTCAAACAAAACCGTAATATTATCTTATTATTTTCCCAACGAATCAATAAATATAATTGAAATTATTGGATGAGCTCTGTATCATTATTAACACGCCAGCTTTGTCTCTTTGTATTCAAATTTTGAATCCACTTGAAAATAGAAAGATATGAAATTTTCCTTTAGGACAATTAAACACCGGTTGTCTAATGATAAGATGACCTACGGATCTGCATCAGCACAGGAATTGTAGATGCTTTGCTATCTTTATTGGGAGCCTGTTAAGGACACTAAAGTAATCATCAGAATTTTGCGCCATCATCCTGGCTTGCATTAACAGAAAAAAAGACTAATAAAGGCTACGATGTAGTATTGTGGTGTGTTTTTTTAGCGTTTTTCAATGAATATATTCAATTGTGTAGTAACCCAATCTCATTCGTTTGTATTATCAGCTGGGAAACCGATAACCCTCATTCCGCTCGGCGTGACGCAATGCAGAGATTAAAGGCTTATACCATGTACTATTATAGCTGTGGATTAAAACCGATTGAAACCAATATATCCTTTTTTGTCATAATTTTGATACTCCCTTAAAATAACAAGCTGATATTAAGTTATTTATCGTATTATTTTTTTCAACGAATCTGATATCTGAATCTTTTTAATAATCGATTTTTCAAAGTTATTCAATATTTTTAAATGGATTACGAACTGTAATGTGATGCTTAAGAGAAATATAACAAAACATGAC